ACAGAAGAAAAATTGATGCATTTGAACTGTGGTGTTGGAGAATAATATTGAATATAGTGTGGACTGCCAGGAGAACAAGCAAATCAGTCTTAGAAGAAATACAACCAGAATGCTCCTTAGAAGCGAGGATGGTGAGACTCTGGCTTGCTTGCTTTGGACATGTCATCAGGAAAGACCAATCACTAGAAAAGGACATCATGGTTGGTAAAGCAGAGGGTCCATGAAAACGAGGGAAACCCTCAGTCAGATGGATTGACACGACAGCCAAAACAATGGGCTCAAACATACCAACGATTGTGAGGATGGCACAGGATCAGGCAATGCTTTGTTCTGTTATACGTAAGGTCATCATAAGTCGGAGCAAATTCGACAGCAACTAACTACAGTGACAACATAGTCACACATCATTACCAAGATGAGTTAACATTGTCCATGACTTCATTGGAGAAAGACAACTGGAACCCCCATATCCGAGACCCTGCTGGACTCTTCCCATGGCTTATTTTATTCTGTAACCTTTCACTGTAATAAACCATAGCCATGGTTTGAGTATAACAGCTGTCAGTGAGTCTTTCTGGCAAATTATCAAGCCTGAGGGTGGTTTTGGGAACCACTGAACTGGCAATTAGTGTCATAAGTCAAGGCGGCCTTGGGGACTTTCCCTAACTTCGCACTTCTGGGCTGACCCACAGAATCCACAAGCATGATAAAATCTGTTCATTTAAAGTTCTACATTTTGTAATTTGCTACATGGAAATTGTTTAACTGGAACACAGGGCTCTCGAGTCTTGCCCTGCGGGAAGGGGTGAAGGCTGTTTTGGCAAAATCTGCAGTGTGTATTCAGTTCTTCGGCCAGTAGTTTTAAAGTTCAAAATGACAAAACTGAAACAAGCACAGAGTAGGAAACTTGTTTGAAAAAATACTGACAGCTCTAAAAGATTCTTGGGACCAACTGGAAATTTGAATATGAACTGGATATGAGACGATATAATGAAATCACAGTTAATTTGATAAAGAGCGATGAGAATATCAGGTATTGTGGTTATGCCGGGAAGGTAGCCATCCTTATTCTTAGGAGATGTCTGCTGAAGGATTTCGGTATGAAATGTCCTGGGTCCTGACGTCTGCAACTTACTTTCAAGCGGTTCAACATTAGCAACAAATTAGAGAAAGAGAGAGAGAAAATGGCAGTGTTCACAAATGTTGAATAGGTAGAGGATATTCAAGTGTTTAGTGTGCTATTCTTTCTACTTTTTATATGTATGAAAATAAAAAGTCTATGTATTGAAAAAAAAAGTGGGAGAGGAGAGGGAGAAATTTTAATTGGCTTTGCAGACCTCCTGAAAGTAAAACTATGAAAAAGACCGCAGAACAGAAGGGAAGACTGAAGAATCTCCTAATATTCCAGCTTGGCCTGGTCCCATACACTGATAAGTTTATTTGGACCCAAAATGACAGGGAATTAGCTATATTGATGGCACTTAGAATTTGGCAAAGTAGCCAATTAGTTCAATTACCCCCCCCCAAAAAAAAGAAACCATTGCTGTCAAGTCGATTCCAACTCATAGCAACCCTATAGGACAGAGTAGAATTGCCCCACAGGGTTTCCAAGGAGTGGCTGGTGGATTCGAACCTTCAATCTTTTGGTTAGCAGCCATAGCTCTTAACCACTGTGCCACTAGGACTCTAAATTAGTTCAATAACAATGACCAAAACAAGGGCAGAGCTTTCTTTCTCTTCTAACGATTACATGACTGCAGACCCAGATACTTGCAGGGTTGCTAGGGAAATGCTGTGAATGAGAAGCCCAAAGCTTGAGAGAACAATGAGTGAAGAACGAGCTCTGCCGGTAGGAGGCACCCTTACTCAGTCCAGCCCATTGTTGCCGTTCAGGGACTGGAACCAAGTGTTGTCTGATCTTCCAATTTTTTAGAAGCCAGAAATCAGGATTATTACATGAAACCTTACAATTTTCAAATGCTGAAAATAAATTTAAAAATGTGAGAACACCATGCAGGACAAATACCCACCAAAAAACCCATTGCCATCGAGTGATTCCAACTCATACTGACTCTATAGGACACAGAAGAACTGCTCCACAGGGTTTCCAAGGCTATAAAAGCAAACTGCCACATCTTTATCCCATTGTGCAGCTGTGGGGGTTGAAACCACCCACCTTTCGGTTAGCAGCTGAGCGCTTAACCACTGCGATACGCCTTCCACTAAATGTCCACTAAACCTTCTCTGAAGGTTTTCTTTGCATCCTGGATCATGAAGGGGAAGTGGTCCACAGTGTCCTTTGAATGAAACTGAGCAGTCTTGGGGGGCAGATGGGTACCATGAGTGCTGAATGATCAGTGGTGAAGGGGTGCAGGAAGGACAGCCAGGTTGACCCCTTTTGTGACTGAGCTTCCTTAGGATTTTGTCTCCAGCTCTGTCTGTGTAGTTGCTCTGGCTGTGGTCCTCATAGCTCTCTCTCCTGTGTCACATCTTTTAACTTCCTTCTCCTTCCCTCCACTCTACTCAGGGAAACATTTTCTAGCCCTGGGAAAAAGAACCCTAGGGGTAATTCACTGTGTTTATTTTATAGCTTGATTTCCCTCAGAGCTCAGACTCTAAACTTCAAATTCTTTTTTCTGCTGCAACATCCCTTCTCTGAATCAATACCAAATGCATAACCCCCCCCCCAACTCTCACCCCACACAACCAGACGGGAACAATGACCAAGAGCAGGGAGGTAGAAAGTACTAGGAAGAAAAAAATTAATGCATTAAACATATCACCCTATCACTCATCCAACATAAATGGAATAAATTAATAAAGGAATTGGAAGAGTAGGAAAATAAAATGAAACCAGGAAAAAGACTAGGAGGCTATGGTCAACCGTGTTGAGTGACGAGGGGAGGTTATAGGGGGCTATGCTGCTTGAGTGGGAGGGCGTGGATGGCCATTTTGGGTGAGGAGGCTGTATGGTGGCCATGTTGTATGAGTAGGAGGGTACAGGCCGCCATTTTAGGGGAGATGGCTGTTTGGGCAGCCACGTTGGGTTAGTGCATGATTTTGTTTAACATATACAATGTCCTGACCACATCAGACTGACAATCCTGCTGCCCTGCCTGCCTTTTTTCTTCTTCTCCTGCGAAAGACAAGCTGCTGATGTAGCAGTCTTCTAGCCAGCACAATATCTTTGCTTCAATCATCCTTTCAAGAAAAGAGTATTTAGGAAGGGCCTCATAGGTCTCGGTATTGAAGGTCATCCAGATGATGATTAAAAGCTCCACAGAAATCATAAGGCTCCTGAGAAAAGTAAAAGTACCAAGCGGTTTCTCCCTGCAGGGCCTAATAAACCAATAAATGGCTGACCCTGGCCTCATCTCTCCAGCCTATTTGTTGCAGGGATGATGGAGAAGTTCTGATATTTACAATGACAGGTGGAAAACCAGAACCTAAGGGACCGACTGGTTTTCAGAGCCGAAGCTGTTGAGGGTATCATTGTCCGTGGCTCTTAGTGACTGTGCTCTCCCTCAAACAGGGAACACCATCAGGCAAAGTTTCTTCTGAGGCAGAAGTCAGCAAACTTCCGGAAAAGGGCCAGCTCATCTTTTATGCTTTATGAGCCAGTCAGTGTCTGTCACGACTACTCAGCTCTGCTGCTGAAGAGCAAAGCAGACGCAGGCAGTAGGTAAATAAATGAGCATTGCTAGGTTCCAATAAAACTTTATTTACGGAAACAGTCAGGGGGTCAGATTTGGCCTGGTGGCCATCGTCCACTGCCCTCTGTCGTAAGGCACCACTAACTTCAAAATACCTTAAGGCAAGGCTGAAATTTATATTTCCATGTATCACCCTGATGCGCTGTACTGTATGAAGGATAGACAGCATTCCTGACAGATGTTTGTGTTGCAGGATAATATTTTTATTTTTCCTGTTTATCCTGTGACCCTCACCTTTTTAGGGAATCAAAACAAGTCATCTATCATCTCAGCTGGGGTGGGTTATCACAATAGAAGTACAGAACAAGAGACACATGCCTGGTTTTCCTTCTTTTAAAGGTTAATTTTTGGTGTTTTTTTTTCTTTAAAAAAGTAATGGTAGATTCGTCCTCAGATGCAACATTAGTGGTGGTGGCTGTCCAAGGGAAGAGTGAGGGTTCCCCTTTTTCATCTGGCCAGGGCAGGTTTGGGGTGGACGACTAAGATGTCGGGGAAAAAGCAGTCAGTAGATTTGTGTCTCCTGGAGGAAGATGAGGTGTTCCAGGAGTTCCCCCCAGAGGCTGGTGAGAATGAAGATGAACAGGGCCATATCAGAGGCTAGTGAGGGGACGAGAATGTAAAGGATGGCTCCTCCTATCAGTTCAGCTGAATTAGAGAAACACAGGACACAGACCACAAAGCATTCTGGCACAAGGACTGAAGCAATCCAATTAAATGTTCAGACAGAGACCCCGGGATGTGACATTTAAGCAAACATGTTTCTTTAATTATCTGCTTGGATTAATTTTCCTATAATACAAAAATATTTGATCTAGAAACAATTACAGAAATAATAACAGCTGCATTAAGAAGTGAAATACATATGTATGTTTGTACGTATGTATATAGGTAGATGATAGACAGCGAGACAGAGAGATGATAGAGATAGATATAGTTGTTAGTTGCCGTTGAGTTGGCTCCAACTCAACAGCCTTACATATAACAGAATGAAATGCTGCCCAGTCCTGCACCGTCTTCATGATCTTTGGCATGCCTGAGTCCATCAGTGAGGCTACTGTGTCAATCCATCTCACTGACGGTCTCCCTTGTAGTCGCTGACCTTCTACCAAACATGATGTCCTTTTCTAGTGATTGGTCTTTCCTGATGATGTGTCCAATGTAAGAGGGCCAAAGTCTTGCCATCCTCGCTTCTAAGGAGTAATCTGGTTGTATTTCTTCTAAGACTGTTTTGTTCCTTCTTCTGGCAGTGCATGGTCTACAATTCAAATGCATCAATTCTTCTTTTTTTTTTTTTGTCTTCATTTATATTCTTACTTCTTGAGTTTTAAACTGAGATCTAGTTGTTGCATAAAAGGATCAGGAGTAATCTTGGAGAGTGCTGTTCTTCTCATCTTCTTCCCTCTGCGCAGAGAAGACATAGGTCCTATGAGCTGAGGAGAATGAGAAGGCAACCAGAGGACAAGGGTATGTTAGTGCCTCACCTTTGAGGAAGAGTCAGGAAGAGAAGCTGCCACCTCTACAGCTATCTGGTTACTTTTGATACTGGCAAGCATGATTGGCGAGTGACAATTGTGGATTCTGTATTAGTTTAAACTAAGTTATGCTGCACTATCAAATGTCTCCAAAACCTGATTAAAAAGATTGAGTCCTCCTTCATATTGCACGCCCCTTGTGAGTAAGCTGCAGTTCTTCTCCAATGTTCTCCATTCTAGGACTCAGACTGAAAAGTAGCCTCCATCTTAGACAATATCAACCTCGAGCACGGCAGAGCCACAAAACAGTTCTCTAAGCTTCCCCTTGGATGTGGTGCACATCACTTGTGTTCAGATTCCATTGGCCTAAACAAGCTACATGGCCAAGCTGAACTCAATGGCACAGGGTGGAAAATCTTCCCATAGGGAGGGGCACAGAATTTTTTTTTAATTATGATATTATTTTTATATCAATTTTTGGCCACAAATTCATGTGGATTCATGTCCTCAAAGTCTCCTTAAAAAAGACTGTAAGCCACTGATCTGGATCCCTAAGCAGAGTCTGATGAGGTCATCAAAATCACAGAGTGGAAGTTCAGCAACTCGAAAGACATGGGCCTTCCTCCTGGTTGGAGGTCGGAAGGTGCGGACTTTCCGTGTATTGCCCAATCCTCTGTGTACCAGGTACAAGCTGCCCTCCAAGTATAAATGCTTCTAGTTCCCCAGTCAGAACCAGGCCCAGCCTGGCTGCTGGAGTTAATCTCACTGCAACAAACTGGAAATGCTCAGAGGAGGGCAGACTGGGAGACAGAAACGCAGCTTTTTTTGGTGTGTTTTGCTTATTTTATAAAATTAGTCATCCATGTGCCTGTGTTTGTCACATCATAAGATGACAATTCACTGGAGAAAAATTGTCACTTTTCATAATTCAGAGCCCAGAATGACTGCCCTGTTCCTCCAAAAGACGAATATTCCCAGCCTTCTAAGAGCATCACGGCATTTGACAGATGCACTGGCAACACCACAGACCAAAGAGGCATTTAGACTGTCAGACTCTGGGAGTCCTGCTGGGTCTTCACATTTGGCTTCTGATTAGAAATAAAAAATCGAAAAATGCTTTGTTAAAAGAAGTACAGGAACCCATAGCCATGTATACATTCCCTTTTTCTTTAAAACCCTACAAGGAAACCCACATGTGTACATCAGGGAGACTCTTTGACATGTGAGATGGCCCCAGTTTTGAGTCTGAACCCTGAAGTCACTGCATGCACTTTTCTTGGTGAGCTCCAGCCTCCTCCTGGGGTCAAGTCAGGCACACGTCAGGCTGTGGCCACCAGTGAGCTCAGAAGACACCCTTTACAGGCAGGAGCCCGCTCCGGGCCACCAACATTGGGCAGGGTCTGGTATACCCACTCAGACACTCGGAAATAGTTCTAGAGAATAAGTGGCAAGGAGAAGAAGGTAGCATGGTATCACAAAAAGGTACTTAGACTGAGATTCTGGAGACCTGGGTTCCGGAAGTGTCTTTTCTGCTTACTATCTCTGCGACCCTGGGAATTTCACTGAGCCTCCATTTCCTCATTTTGGAAGCCAAGGATGGGACAGCATTCAAAAGTTTTCCACAGGATAGATGGCTGTCAGGAGTCAGAACTGTCTTCATTGTCCTGTGGGACCTGAAGGGAGTATGTAGAGAGGGTCTGGGGATGTCTGAAGTACTTGGTGAAGGTCAGTACAGCCAGAGTAAAAGGGTAGGAGCCTGAGGTTCATCATCATCATCATCACCATCATCATCATCACCAGCATCATCATCATCACCACCACCATTACCATCACCATCATCATCACCATCAACGGCATCATCATCATCACCACTGTCATCATCACACTACCACCACCACCATCATCATCATCACCATCATCACCATCATCATCGCCATCAACAGCATCATCATCATCATCACCACTGTCATCATCACACTACCACCACCACCATCATCATCATCACCATCATCATCATCATCATCGCCATCAACAGCATCATCATTATCATCACCATCATCATCACCATCATCATCACCATCGACAGCATCATCATCATCACCATTGTCATCATCCCACTACCACCACCACCATCATCATCACCATCATCATCACCATCAACAGCATCATCATCATCACCATCAACAGCATCATCATCATCACCATCATCATCATCACCATCAACAGCATCATCATCATCACCACTGTCATCATCACACTACCACCACCACCACCATTATCATCACCATCATCACCACCATCATTACATCAACATCATCAAAGCAGAGAAGGGGGAAAACATTGAAACCTGATTTTTTCCCATAAACACCACTTCTCCCATAAGCAATTTTTTATAGCCTCACCATCCACAAACAGATGCCCATGGTGCAATTCCAGCACACAAGCATATTTTATTTGTCCCACACAATATGGCCACACTGTATTGTTTTTAATAATAGAAATATTTCAAAACTGGGAAATTTCACATAAAAATCCTAGCTTCTCTTGAAAATTAAAGATTGAGCCACCCTAGGCTCTTCAACTTGGCTACAACTGAGAAATCATCGCCTCCCTTCGTAGTCATGCTCTCTCTCATTCACCACAGTCTCCACCACTTTCTGTTGCCTAAGGTCTGTCAGATTAAATAATGTACATTACCTGCTCTTTCTGTGTAGGCATATGGGTTTGCCACCTCTGTTTCAGAATAACTTCACATTGATTTTGTTTTCTAATTTGCTCATTTCCCCCTCTGAATGAACTCTACTATAAATACAAATAACATAAGATTTTATAAGTTTCCAACTCAATCAGATGAAATATTTAAAGAATATAGTTTTAATTTAACAGCATTCAAGATTCATGGTTTTTCCTCCCTTCTCTGCCTCACAGAGGCAGAAATATGTTATCCTTATATGCTAAATATACCAATGATCATGAAGATGGCACAGGACTGGGCCATGTTTCACTCTATAATACATAAGGTTGCCATGAGTTGGAGCCAACCTGATGGCAATGAAAAACAACAACAACATATTGCAATTAAGCAATAATATTTAAAAGATTTATTATCTAATAATAGTGTTGGAATAACTGGGTATCCATCTGGGAAATAAGTTAAACCACATAGGAGAGTTGTTCTCTATTCGCAAAGTAGAAATGGCCTTCCTAGTTTTGACAGATAAATTTAAATACTTAAAATTCCTTTTCTGATGGTATCAAACAAAATCAAAAGGCAAATGACAAACTGGGGAAATAATTACATTTCATAAACACAGAAATACAGCTAAGTTTCCCATATACAAATAGCAACTACAGATCAATAAGAAAAAAAGGTCGATAACCCAGTAATGCTGTTCTACAGTGGCGATTCAAGTGGAGAATGTATATGTTGTTCAGGACACATGTGGGCGTTTCTGGGTAGGTGTTTTCAGCCAGGTACACACAGTGGAAATTGTCATGGCTTTCCTGTGGATCCACAGGTCTTTGTGTGGGCTGATACATAATGGAGAGAATCAGCTATTCCTCTTTTGAGGATGTCTATGTCTTTGATCTCTTGCTCCTTCATGTGACCACACATTTCACAGATGGAAAATCCCATCATAGGCAACTGAGGTCTAAGTGCCAGAGCTGGAGTCTAGAGTTCAAAGCCTTAGCCAAACTGCTAATTGTCTGTAATGCACATAAGCTGATTTAACTTGTCTCTTGGCTGAAAGTATCAGATCGTTAGACACTGTGAAGTACACCCTGAGTCTGCACTAATGGCCTAATTGGGTCAAAGAACATGGCTTCTGCTTCTTTACTTGTCGGGTAGGAAAAAAAAAAAAGATCTAATCAGATATTCTTATCTGAGAACGTCTCAGAGAGACATTGAGTCATGAAAAAATGACTCAGACAGCTTTTTTTCAATGTTCAGATGCCAGATGGCACCTCAAGAGTACTGGGTTAGAATCACCAGGGATGGAGACCCTGAATTTCTGATTTCAAAACCCTCCCTGAGGATTCTGATGCACAACTGGGATTGAGAGCTACGGAACAAGGCGATTTCTAAACGTTCTTCCATCTCTGACGTTCTTTAATTCTATGGGTTTCTTTGCTGATCTGCAGAAATGCAGAGGGGACTGATCTCAGAGACAATTCCATCCACTCTTTGCCACTGGAGTCCCGAGAAGACTGAGGTGGGTCCTGGAGTTCTGAGTTCCTGTTACTAGATAACAAGAGTCCCCAGCTCGTCTCACTCAGATCTCTACCTCAGAGGCGTCTACGGTCATTCTCCTCACCACGTCCTGTTTTTATATTTGGCTTGATTTACCAAAGCTCTACCCAGTGTCCGAGGCCCAGCCTTCCATCTGGAAAACCAGCCTCCCAACACTCACAATCATTTGCTGTACCCTAAATTCATCTGCGTCCTTCTGTCTCTTGGAACAGTTCTCCAATTATCAATATGCATTTCTCCCTCCACATGTGAAATATTGGAATGTCAATAATGCCTTCCTCTGTCAAACGCGTCGGGTACTTTCATATTATGCCAAGGTTCGTAAAACTTTACTGGAATTGATACAGAGCTGGCATAAAATGGAGAAGGGAGGTTGTGCTGAATCAGAAGAAAATTATGATTGTATATTGACCTGAAACTTTCTTTCTTCCTTTTCTTAAAGGGTTTGGCCTTTTCTCTTCAAGTCTCTTCACGAAATTAAACCACAGGGAAGAAATAAATGACGAGAAAGAAAAGCCTAAGGAATGATGACAGTTATGAAGGAGAGCATGGGCTGATTTAAGAATATCTGACAGGAGGACTTATCTGGCCTCTTGGTTCAAGAACGTTCTCTCTGAAAAATTGAAGATGAGTAGCCAGGCAGGAGACGGGTGAGGCACGAGTGGGGTGGGGAGCAGGTTATCTACCTCTTTTATCCCAGCGCTGTTTCCACCTCTGTGTGCTCTGCTACACACTGCAGGGGACTTCCTGAGTGGCGCAAATTGTTAAGTACTCGACCACCAACTGAAAGGCTGGAGGTTCTAACCCACCCAGAGCACTTCGGAAGGCAGGCCTGGCCATCTGCTTGAGAAAGGTCACAGCCGCTGAAAACCCTGTGGGGCTGTTCTGACACACGTGGGGTTGCCATAAGCCGGGTTCAACATGATGGCAAGTGGTGGTGGTAGCTGGTGGTAGCTGGATACCTCCATGGAATGACATTTATCAATCCCCTCTGACCGTCACGTCTTTGGACGTCTCCTGACACATGGACACTGTTGACAGAGGCTGTCCTCTCCTTCCATCAGCTCTAGGCTTGACTTCAGGAAGGAAGCAGCAGCCCCTGCTTCTTTACAATCTTCAGAGACCAAAAAACAAAAACTCAAGATTGTGGCCGTGAAGGAGAAGAGAGAAAGAGAGTCACCGTTGAAGAGAACGTAGGAGGAGGAAGGGATTTTTTAAGATAGGAAAGAGGCTTAGTGGTGAACACACACAATGGGAAAAAGGGCAGTCGAAGAACTGTTAAAGATAAAGGACAGATGGGGGATGATCAGTAGCAACGAGTTTCTGAAGTCCGGACTAAATTGGGTTCAAACACAGGCGGCAGGGGTGCCTACAGAAAAGGGGAGACACACTGAACCAGAAGAGCATGCACGCAAGAAGAGGGGTCAGGAGGAAGGAGAGAGCGGGGTTTATGGATAAATTTTTTTTTATCTTTGTTATTACTGGCAAATACAATGTGTCTGAATGGCCTCTGCCTACCAATCCACACCCATAACGTGGCGATGAGTGCAGCTGGCCGCTGATCCTGTTGCATCCGGTTCTGACTCACAGACCACCCTGCAGGACAGAGTAGAACCATCGGTTCTGACTCACAGACCACCCTACAGTACGGAGTAGAAGCACTGGTTCCAACTCGCAGACCACCCAACAGGACGGAGTAGAAGCACTGGTTCCGACTTGCAGACCACCCTACAGGACAGAGTAGACCACCCTAGAGGACAGAGTAGAACTGCCCCATCAGGTCTCCAAGGAGCGGCTGGTGGATTCGAACTGCCAACACTTTGGTTAGCCCCTAGCTCTTAACCACTGTGCCACCAGGGCTCCACCTGCAAGTACATGGCTCAAACTTCCATACCTTTGACCTAGTCTCTGGGAAATCATGGTTAACACTCTCGAGCAAGGTCAGATGGGTTTTCCAAGCTCCTCTTTGTAAAAGTATTCTTGATTCTAAAAAGAGATTTTTTTAAAAAGCACTATCTCCACCAAAAATGTGTGAAAATAGAAATATATTTTGTGTGTCATCCAATGAGGTAGAGATTCCTTGACAATGAGGTAACATTAAACTGAGACCTATAGGATGACAACCAGAGTTGTCCAGGGAAGAAGGACATGGGGTGGAAGGGGGAGCAGGGAGCCCCTGGCCCAGTGCCTCAGAAACACAGCACGCTCCCGGAGGCAGAGGAAACATTTTCAGGACCGTGTTTGGGAAGCGGCAGCCCCTCCTGCCCTGCTCTTCTGAAGAGATGAGGAAGCACATTTCACTTCCCTCGAAGGGCCTGGCAGTCATCCCTCAGTGAGTTCTTCTTCTCAAACCACCACCAAGGAGCCGGCTGTGGCCACGGTGGAGGTGCCCCCTAGAGTTCCAGCGTGTCCCCCACAAGGTTCAAGGCAGGAAACGCCCTGCGTCCAGTTCCCACTGTGAGAGTGGTGGGGCTGTGGAGCCACAGGGGCAGATGGGCAGGCTCTTCTGGGCCACCCCTGGAGAGAGGTCCGTCCTCCCCACAAACTGGCACACCAGGGAGCCTGCGCCATCTAGGGGGCAGCACGTGGTTGTCCACATTCACAACTGGACGACCCTCCAGCCATGCACCCCACACACTCACACACCGGGGAGGAACAGGAGACAGCAGGCACACCTGCTCCGGGAGGATCCCGGCCTGAGACGCGCACGCAGACCAGGGCGCCATCCACAGCGACAAGAAGACACAGAAGATGACAGAGCCACATGGGGCGGGCGTCACGCTCAGAGATGCCTTGAACGAAAACACTGTAAGAATCTGGGATATCCAGCTCTCAGCCGTGTCAGCTGCCCGTGGGCCTCTTCCCACGAGGCCATGCCTGCCTGGATCCCACCCAGTACCCAGCCACTGCCTCCTCCCTGGCGCAGAAGCCAGGGTCCCAGTCCTCCACAGGCCTGCCAAGCACTGTCCTCATCCCAAGCTGTTTGCAGACACTCACCACAGAGGAGCGCCTCAGCCTTCCCACAGCCCTGCGGGTCAGGTGCCATTTCTATCCAGGTGACTTGTGTCCCCACAAAGACCTGCTGAAGCCGTAACCCACACACCTGTGACTGTGACCTTGTTGGGGGCAGGTGCTAGCAGTTGATGAGGTCGTGCTAGCAGGGTGGTCCTGGTCTTAATCCCCCTGAGTGGTGTCTTACGAAAGAGAAGGAGAGACAGGGAGAATCACACATGGGGGAAGACGGCACGTGGGGGGATCAGCTACAAGGCAAGGAACACCTGGGCCACAGGGACAAGGACAGACCCTGCCCTAGAGCCCACGCCCTGAATTCCAACTCCCAGCCTGCAGAACCACGATCGATCAGCGTCTGCTTTTTCAGGCCACCCCGTCATGGAGCTTTGTTCCGGCGGCCCCAGGACACCAGGGCCATGAGCCAACCTCCGGTTTGCCTGGAACGGTCCCAGTTCACACCCGTCCTGCCCGTGTCAGTATCAATAGTGCCCCGTTGACTCTCAAATGGGCTCTGGCTGGGATGATAAGTTGTATGGTTGTCCTAATTATTATCCCCATTTTACACATGAGAAAACGTGACCCCAATTTCGATGTAGGGAGCAACACCCCCAAGCTGCCTCAGCGTGATGAAAGACGGGTGTGTGCCCCAGGTTTGTGGAGTCGGTGCTGCCCTCACCCTGGTCATAGTGGTAGCTGCAGGGACTGACCCAAAGACAAAGGCGGGGCCGAGAGAATTACAGGGATGCCCGACCACCTGCAGCAGCTTTGCCTCAAGTTTCGAACCCCGGCCTTCCCAGTCATGTGCACCACGCAGGCCACCCCCACGCTAGAGAGTCACGAATAACACATGGTTGGCAGAGAGAGACCGAGAGACCAAACACCCCTACTCTTGAGGTGCAGGTGAGCAGCCCCTCAGACACCTCCACCCTCAGCCTCTGGGCTGGGGAGTAACTCTCTGGACCCCGGGGCCCACTCAGAACAGCCCAGCTTTTCAAAGATCTCCGACCAGCAGCCCCCGCCCACCCCACTTGCCCCTCAGTCTCCTCGGGGTGAGCTGCTGACTTCTGTGTATTTGGAAGGCTGGGTGGAGCCTGAAGACTGGCCTCGGCAGAGGGCTGCAGACTGAGAACTCCTCACCCCCCACTTCCCCGCACACCGGGTTGTACATGACTTGGCAGCAGCACTTGACTTCCAAAGTCAGCCCAATCAGATCCCTTTCTTGGAGTAATAATGCTTCATTTTCTCTCTTTCTGTGGAACAGAGATCATCTCCTACCCCCTCCCTCACAGCTCAGCACATCATCAAATCTTAACTTCCTGCATCTGGGAGAGATAAATAGGGCTTTGCAGAAATGGGCTGGAAACCAATATTCATCTCCCTCCCCCCCAAAAGGCTTAGGACACCAGCCAGTAGTTTTCTCTCTAAAGGAAGGCAGCAGACATGAGGTAAAGTGAGTCACAGGAAGCCTGAGTGGATGGTCTTGGCTACCCCAGGCCACGGGAATGGGGCAAAGGAAAGAGAATGGGTCACGAAAACAAATTATCAAATGACGAGGCAAGAGAGAAAACTGTTTTTTCTCTGTAACAATAAGCTCCCAAGACCTATATAAAGCCCCTTGAGCTTCCTTTGTAAAATGAGAACACACTTGATTTTTAAGGACAACTCCATTTGAAAAGTTGGCTCCCGTTGTAGTAATCACAGTAAGAAGACCGACTGCCCCGCAGGACTTTGGTGGCGGAGAGGAGGGGGCCAACTGAAGGAGAGAAGCCTGCAGGTACTGGGCGGGGGGCCGGGCAGTGACGGCCAGATGTCTGCACGGCTCGTCCTGCCCTTCCACTAGGTGCTGGTCGCAACCCCACTTCCCTTTGGCACCTTGTTCTTGCCAACGAAACAGGCCAGAAGGGGGCTGTCACCCCTCCACATTCTCTCGCGGCCTGCTGACCGAGAGCACTGTTTGTCCTGCTACTGAGAATCAGAAGCTAAACGTGCTGTGAGGAGCTACTTGTCTTGCTTTCCTAGCGCTGCCATAAAAACATGCCTGGAAGCAGGTGGCTTCAAGGACAGCAATGTCGTTTCCTACAGAGCTGAAGGCGGAAGTCTGAATTCAGGGCGTCGGAAGGCCTGTTCTCTCCATCTGTCTGTCCTAGGGGAAGGTCCTTCCTGTCTCTTCCAGCCTCTGCAGCCCTGGGCGTTCCTCGGCTTGGACAGATCCTCACGTGCGACTTCCCCTGTGTGTGACTCTGTTTCGCTGACTGTCCTTCTCTTTCATAAGACACCACCCAGGCGGGATTAGGATTAGGTCCCACCCTACTGCCATATAACTTCATATTAACTGCTAACATCTACAAAGAGAAACCCTATTTCTAATCAAGGTCACAGTCACAGGTGCAGGGTTCGGACTTCCACGAGTCTTCTGGGGAGACACAACCCCATCCCTAATACTCCTGCAGTGCGCAGGTCTGTCTGTCCAGCAGTTAGTGCTTCCACAACCAAGAGGGCCACCTCTTGTCCCCACAAGATAGACAAATGGTCATGAATGAGGGAATTTCTACCAGCCTCTAACACAAGCACAGTCAAAATTTATTAAAAAATAAAGTACAAAGTTTTTTACCTGCACTGCATTTAAAACGACGTGTCCCGCTTCAAATGCTCCTCCAGGCGGCAAGGGACAGTTGTGTCTTATGTAAGCAGTGTGACAATGGGCTCAACCACAGGGTCCTCACAGCTCCGTGTTCCTGCTGGGAATGTGGCAATGCACCTCATAGTGTGGCTGGCACCTCAAAGGAGCTGTGGGGCAAATGATACAAAGGGTCAATAATCAGCGTGATTTGACATTTTCTCCAGTCTGGCTCAAGGGTGAGGACCTCAGGAAGGAGAAGCTATTTATCACCTGAGTGTCCTCAACAGAAACATTCGTGCCATTTGCATGGGACAAGGGTCTGGCGGCGCAGTGGTTAAGAGCTCGGCTGCCAACCAAAAGGTCAGCAGTTCAAATCCACCAGCCGCTCCTTGGAAATCCTATGGAGCAGTTCTACTCTGTCCTATAGGGTCACTATGAGTCAGAATTGGCTCGATGGCAACAGGTTTGGTTTGGTATTTAGTTAGGGTCTGGGTGGATGTTGCTAGTTGATTCCAACTCATAGTGACTCCATGTGACAAAGTAGAACTGTCCATAGGGTTTTCTAGGCTGTAATCTTTACAGGAGCAGATCGCCAGGTCTTTCTCCCGAGGAGCCACTAGTAAGTTTGAACCACCTAAGGTTCAGTTAGCAGCGGGGTGCTTAACAGGTGCACCACCAAGGCTCCTTCTGACTGCTAGAGACTGACCAGTATCCTGGGGTTGTCGGCCTCCACCTGACTGAGTCCAGCACAACTAGATGGTGCCCAGCTACCACCACTGACTGCTCTGACAGGGATCACAACAGAGGGTCCCGGACAGAGCTGGATATAAAGGTAGAACAAAACTAACTCACAAAAAAAGACCAGACTTACTGGCCTGAAAGAGACTGGAGAAACCCCGAGAGTATAAACCCCAGATACCCTTTTAGCTCAGTAATGAAGTCACTCCTGAGGTTCACCCTTTAGCCAAAGATTAGACAGACCCATAAAACAAAACGAGACTAAAGGGGCACACCAGCTCAGGGGCAAGGACAAGAAGGCAGGAGGGGACAGGAAAGCTGGTAATAGGGAACCCAAGGTCAAGAAGGGAGAATGTTGACATGTCGCGGTGCTGTTAACCAATGTCATAAAATAATATGTGTAGTAACTGTTTAATGGAAGCTAGTTTGTTCTGTAAACCTTCATCTAAAGTATGATTTAAAAAAAAAAAGTCCTTGTGTTGTTTGCTCTTCACCTAGAAATAAGCTTCTGGAGGCTGGGGCTGGGAGCCGCAGCAGCGGGGAAGAGTAAGTGAGGGGGAGAAAGGAGAGGGCGGGATCTTGAAGAACAAGGACCCTTCAAGGTCAGGCCAAAGTGAAGGAGCTTGGGGAAGAAGGCAGGGAGAGCACCAGGGAAAGAATAAAAGATGCTGGAGCACCTGGCTGCTAACCGCAAGGTCGACGGTTCAAACCACCAGCCGCTCCTTGGGAGAAAGATGTGGTAGTCTTCTCCCATAAAGATGTACAGTCTCGGAAACTCCACGGGGCAGTTTTACTCTGTCCTTTAGGGTGGCTCTGAGTCGGAGTCAACTCGACGGTAAATGCGTTTGATTTGGTTTTGGAACAGATATGAGCCCTGGTGGTGCAGTGGTTGAGCGCTTGGCTACTAACTGAAAGGTCAGTGGTTTGAACCCACCAGAGGCTTCATGAGAGAATGATGTGCCATTCCGCTTCCATAAAGATTACAACTAGGTCAACTGACATCTCACAGTTCATAAAGAAAATGTTCCCCACCCCACTCGGGTGAGCTGCATCTGGTGTCTTAAAAGCTTGTGAGCGGCCACGTAAGATACGTCTACTGGTCCCATCCGGAGCAAAGGCGAATGAAGAAAACCAAAAACACAGGGAAAATATTAGCCCAAAGGACTAAAGGACCTCCACCAGCCTGAGCCCAGAAGAACTAGATGGTGTCCGGCTACCACACCAATGACCATTCTGACAGGGAACACAACAGCGGGACGTGGACAGAACAGGAGAAAAATGTAGAACAAAATTCAAATTAATGAAAAAAGACCAGGCTTACTGGTCTGACAGAGACTGGAGGAACCCCTGAAACTATGGCCCCTGGACACTCTGCTAACCCAGGACTGAAGCTGTTCCTGAAGCCCCTTCTTCAGACAAAGATCAGACAGGCTATAAAACAACACAGATGAGGAACACGCTTCTTTGTTCAATCAGAAACACACGACCAGATGGGCAGCTCCTGTCCAAAAGCAGGATGAGAAGGCAGGAAGGGACAGGAACCGGTCGAATGGACACAGGGAACCCAAGGTGGAAAGGGGGAGCGTGCTGTTACATTGTGGGGATTGTAACTAATGTCACAAAACAATGTGTGTATGAGAAAATAACTTGAGCTATAAACTTTCACCTAAAGCACAATTAAAAAAAAAGAAAGACTAAAGCCTTGGAAACCCTATGGGGCAGTTCTACTCTGCCCTATAGGGTGGCTATGAGTCTATGGCAATGGGTTTGGTTTGGAAGTGGGAGCGGGGGTTGGGGGAGGGCTGTGGGGGCAGGAGAGATGATGCAATGCTGCCACCATGTGTCCACGGGGAATATTGCTACTAGGAGGCATTCCATATTCAACAAGCTTCACTCATATGTTGGAGTCCTGGTGGTCCAGTGGTTAAGAGCTCAGCTGCTAACCAAAAGGTTGGCAGTTTGAATCCACCAGCTGCTCCTTGGAAACCCTATGGGGCAGTTCTACTCTGTCCTATAGGGTCGCTATAAGTTGTAATCGGCTCGATGGCAATGGGTTTGGTTTGGTTTTTTTCTCGCTCATATCCAGACAGACCTTCTACCTGATCAGCTTTCTGGGTGGCATGAAGAAACATCACAAACTAAGCCTGTAACATTTAAATAAGAATCCAAGGCAGCAATGGGGACACACTACAAGGATGAACTGCTGCCTCTTACTTGTATGACACTGTTCCAGTTGGCTGGTGTCAACTCAGCCCAGACTCACGGCAACCCCACACACAACAGAACCAAATGCTGCCCATTCCTGCACCATCCTCATGATCGACTGCAGACTGGACCATTGTGATCCTTAGGGTTTTCATCGGCTATCTTTCAGAAGTAGATTGCCAGGCCTTTCTTCCTAGTCCATCTTAGGCTGGAAGGTCCACTGAAGCCTGTTCAGCATCATAGCAACATAGCAACATGCAAGCCTCCAGTGACAGACGGGTGGTGGCCATGCATGAGGTGGACTGGCCAGGAATTGAACCCGGGTCTCCTGAGTGGAAGGTGAGTATTCTAGCACCGAGCCACCACTGCCCCGTGATGATGTTAGCCATCCTTTATTGAGTACATGTTCACAGTGCCAGGCTCAGAGACAACACCACTCAATCGACACAGAGATCCTGCAAGATAGATAGTAATAAACTCTTCCACAGATGACAATGTCTATTGGGGCCAGGCAAGCAATCAACAGGTGAAGGGGGCCAGGTGGTATTCTTCCTGCACAGACACCCTCTGTTCGCACAATAATCACGGAGGAATATACTTCCCTTCCACAAAGAACTCTGCCAAGTCCTGTTTTTCTTACAACACCTGGCTCTTTTGAACGGTCTCTTTTTCTCACTTCTGACAGAGATGTGGGCATAAAGACATAGTTCTCTACTCTAAGGAGACTTGCAGTGCAAGCTCAGTGATTAACAGCCCCTGACACTTGGCCTGGGTGTCAGGGCGACAATAGGGAATGCTGGGAACAGGGCCATTTACTGGGCAGCTGCAGCTCCGCTCCTTGAAGAACGTGTGCTGGAGGCTGCCAGATCTTCCCATTTTTCAGAGGAAACTGGAGATGGATTGTAGTTTAAAATACCCTGATTTTCAAATTTTGGCAAGAAAAAATTTTAAACACCATGGGAGCCAAGAAAGACACATCTGCAGTCTGGATGCGGCCCACAGATCACCCATGTGGGACCTCTTCTGGGGTGATTAACAGAGGGGTTCACTTCCCAGCTCTGCACTTCCTATCTGAAGGCCTTGGGCTGGAGCCTACGCGGCTCCGGGCGTCAGTGTCATTCAACACAGGGAGAGAGCATCTGCGTCGCACTGACCGTGCACCAGTTAGGTGAGACAATGCACACACAGTTGTTGACAACCTGGACTCCCTGGTGGTGCAAATGGCCAAGGCATGGCTCGAGTCCACCCAGAGGCACCTCCAAAGCAAGGCCTGGCGATCTGCTTCTGAAAAATCAGCCACTTTAAACCCTGTGGAGCACAGTTCTACTCTGACACGCACTGGGTGGCCATGAGTCAGAGTCAACTCAATGGCAACTGTGTATTTAACAATAGACTTTTCAACAAGCACATTCTCAGGTATGTTCAAATGACACAGACGACCAGGTGTGATTCTTCAGATGCTTGGATTAAAAAAAAAAAAAAGGAAAAGCTTTAGCACGGCTTTGGTGTATGCAGTGCCAAACCACAACGACAGTTTATTTTTTCAGCAAAGGGGCGGCAAGGGTCATCCGGCTCAGCCAAATGGAAACGAAATGCTGGAGTTGAGATGGAAAAAAACAAAATATTTGAGTTGAGATCTCAATTATACAAAAAAAAAAAAAAAATTGTCAGCATGCATGCCATTGAGCTGACCATGATAGTAGTGATGATTATGATAACAATAAGTCGCAATATTATATGATGTATTATAGCATATATTACGTTCATAATGTATTAAGGGTTAGCTATGTACCAGACATTGTTCTAAATATTTATTGAGTGTGCTATTACTAATTATATAGTAATTATCATGTGCCAGGCATAGTTCTAAGCACTTTACATATAGTCTATATTAACTCATTTAATTCCCCGAGTTACCTTAAAGAGTTGTTGTGTGCCACTGAGTCAGTTCCGACTCATAGCGACTGTGTGTGACAGAGTAGAACTGGCCCGTAGGGTTTCCTATGCTGTGATCTTTACGAGAGCAGATTTCCAGGTCTTTTCTCCCACAGAGCAGCTGGTGGGTTTGAGCAGCCGACCTTTCAGTTAGCAGCTGAGCACTTAACTGTTGCACCAGCAAGGCTCCTTCCTTATAAATACCTATTATTATCCCCATTTTACAGATGAGAAAACAGAGACGCAGAGAAGTGCAGTAACTTCCCCATGGTCACACAGCTAGTAAGTGGCAGAGCTGGGATCTGAGCCCGGAGAGTCTGCCTCTGGACTCTGTATGATCAATCACTGCACTATCCCTCGGGAATGGATCCTAGACGCTCGCAGCCACTGTAGGCCAGGAGAAGGTCCAATCAGATGTGAAACTATAGGGAACGCTTGCCAGGAGTCAAGCCCAGGCTTCCCTGGCCTGGTCACATCTCAGTCCACTCTATTTTCCTTCACATGTTATATTTTACTTTACTCCAGTCATCAGCCCCAGAGAATTATCCACATGTTTCAGTTAGGTTCAAGCTGCAGGCACCGGCCCTGGGGATGCAGCTGAAGATAATTCAGTGGGAAGACGGTGGAGGTTCACAAAATTGATGGGACGCTAGAGAACCAAGGGAGCTTCAGAGAGCTAAGAAGCAACAGCAGCAACCACCCTGTCCCTACACAATCTCTTCCGGATACTGCCACCATGCAGCCTTCCTGGCAGTCCATGACCTTCAGTGACCTTCACCCAGCCCTGTGTCCCTGCACCATCCACACAGGACCGAAACTGAAGGAGCACCCATCCAGCTCGGCCTCAGGCTTCTCCTGGATGAGGGGAGGGAGAGCCCAGCTCCTGTGATGGCCACAGGGGGCAGCAGTGAGCAGGGATCGCCCACTCCCTGTACCTGGAGCCTTGCATCTCCCAAAAACAAACCAGGGAGCTGGGAGGAAAAACAAATGGATGCTGATCAACCAAACACTACAAATCTCCACTTGACCATAATACCAAAAAGCTCAGACAGATCTGTTCATAGCATTTCTGGTCCTGTATTAAGTAAGAAACCATATGGAGGCACTGGTGTTCAGTGGTAGAATCCTCGCCTTCCATGTGGGAGACCTGAGTTTGATTCCCGACCAAGGCACCCCATGTGCAGCCACCACGCATCTATCAGTGGAGGCTTGTGTGTTACTATGATGCTGAACAGGTTTCAGTGGAGCTTCCAGACTAAGACAGACTAGGAGGAAAGGCCTGGTGATCTACTTCTGAAAATCAGCCAATGGAAACGCTATACGGATCACAACGGTCTGATCCACAACCCATCATGGGGATGGTGCAGGACCAGGCAGCATTTTGTGCTGCTGTGTGTGGGGTCTCCGTGAGCCAGGGGCTAAAAACAACAATGAAGAAACCATACTAGGATTCTACACGTGTATTTATTGCTATGCCACTGTCCCCATGGAGGAGGGAAAACCAACCACCAAGGAGGTGAGGGGCAGCCCAGCCCTGCTCAGGCCTGGGTACGGATGGCTGAAGGGCGGGCTTCAGGGTCTCACACGTTTCCATTCAATCTAACCTCCTCCAGAAAAGCGATGTGCTATGAAGTCACTGGCCAGAGCCCATTCATGGAGAAAAGACGAGTGAGACAGTCACCCGCACTTTGCATAAAGTGTGATCATCAGTCTTATCCCCTTACAGAGGAAACTGACCCCCTTGGAAATGAAAATATTTGAAAGCGTGTTGCATGGAGGAAATTCTGGTTAAAATGTAATTGAACCAAAATTATAAAATATCGTTTCAAACTTAAGGCCTCAATATGATCAACAATTTTGGCTGGGAGAGTGGATATCTGGAGACAGGGTTAGAGGAAGCTTTCATTTAAGCTGATGGTTTTAAAAAAAAAGTCAGTTAATATAAAAGGTACACAGTGAAAAGGAAGTTGCTCTGTCCCCAAAATTTCCATGCCCCCTTCCATTCTCAGAGGTAACTCAAGCTACCTGACGCATGCATGTTCTTGCAGAAACATCCTGAAGTGTCTATGTGCACACGGCTGCCCTCTGTCAGAAGCCAGTGCCTGTGGAGTGCTCTGCACCTGCTTTGCTGACTTGACAGGAATCCCTGAGACCACGCCTATCTCCACGCACCTGGATCCACCTATCTGCTTCTCTGTAGGGACAGCATGGTGCCCCACCGCACCGTTACTCAGTTTAACGGGTCCCTGTTGATGGTGCAAACGGGTAACACGCTCATCTGCTAACCCAAAGGTTGGAGGTTTAAGAATACCCAGAGGTGTCTCGGAAGAAAGGCCTGGTGCTCTACTTCCAAAAAATCAGCCACTGAAAACCCCGTAGAGCACAGTTCTACTCTGACACACGTGGGGGCGGCACGAGTTGGAGTCTACTAGACAGCAACTGGATTGTTTTTCTTCGGTTTATTGATGAGCATCTAGGTGCCTTCCAGTCATTCACCACCTCGCACAAGGATCCAGTGAATGGCGTTATACATATATTTGCAAGCATATTCAAAACTATTTGTAATATAAATCCATAGGAGTGAAATTTCTGGGCCAAATTAAAAGTGCAAACATCAGCCTTCAGTTGGCACCCCCCAGCTGTAGACGAGCACTAACTTCCTCACGCCCTTGTCAACACAGCATTGTATCAGACTTTTGTTTGTGGCCGATCTGATGGGTGAAAACACAGTGCTGCGTGAAATTTCCGTGATTGTGAACAAGGGCGAAGAGGCTGGAGGAGTTTTACTGGAGCAGGACTCATTTCCAATAGCTGAGAGACCTCTTCTCCAGGTGCGAGGAAGCAGGACCAGGGAGAGGGTGAGGGAAGCAAGGCATCCAGGGTGCAGGACCGCAGGGAGCTCACTCAGGCGCCCACCCTGCACTTGTGTGACTCTGAGAGCGACGTCTCCTTAATTCTGTGCCCGGGGCACCCGTCTTGCCTCACCATAGTCCTGGCCCTAAAAGGGAGCCTCTGCAGATGCCTCCTGTGGACACAGATCCACCACTTACACCTTCCCACTCCCAGCAGAGCCCGGTGGCGCAATAGCTAAGCACTCGGCTGCTAACCAAAAGGTCAGCGGTTCGAATCTACCAACGGCTCCACGTGACAAAGACCTGGCAATCTGCTCCCATAATTACAGTCTAGGCAGAACTGAAGCTACTCCCAAAGTCCACCTTTCAGGCAAAGACTGGACCAAACCCCGTTGCCGTCAAGTTGATTCCCACTCATAGCAACCCTATAGGACAGAGTAGAACTGCCCTATACGGTTTCCTAGGAGCACCTGGTAGATTCGAACCGCCGACCTTTTGGTGAGCAGCTGAGCTCTCAACCACTATGTCACCAGGGTTTCCAAAGATTGGACAGGCCTATAAAATAACACACACGAGGAATGTGCTTCTTAGTTGAATCCAGTATACGAGAGCAAATGGGCAACCGCTGCCCAAAAGCAAAGACAAGGCAGGAAGGGAGAGGAAAACGGACGAACGGACACAGGGAACCTGAGGTGGAAATGGGGAGAGTGCTGACACATTGCAGGGATTGTAACCAACGTCACAAAACAATCTGTGTATAGCTTTTTGAATGAGAAAATAATTTGCACTGTAAAGTTTCACCTAAAGCACACACACGCACACACACACACACGCACACACACGCACACACACGCGCACACACACACACACACACACACACAAAAGATCACAGCCTAGGAAACCCCATGGGGCAGTTCTACTCTGTCACATGGGGTTGCTGTGAGTCGGAATCAACCCAAAGGCACACAACACCTCCCAAGAGAGGAGGCAGAGGGCTGGCCCCGGCTGGGGAGTTCGGAACCGGCAGTCTCCCAGTATCTGCCATTTGTCCCACACACAAAATACAGAGAAAATACATGATCTCAGTTCTTCAAATGACCAGTGAATGAGGGTACATTTACCTGCTTTTTGAATTTTGGAGCAAACAAATAAGAAGAAAAGGCTGCTCTCTCCAGCGTTTCTGAGCCTGGTACTCTTGTTGTTGTATCTGCTGTCGAGTTCGCCCCAATTCACGGCGACCCCAAGCACAATGGAACAACGTGATGCCCAGCTCTGCGCCAACCTATTACTGAGGGAGACGTATTCCTGGGGTCCTTTGTTGAAACTTGGAACATAGCTGGAAACAGCGTTACACAGCACCATCAGATGTCACTAGAAAAGAATACATTGTAGCCTGCTCACGTATCTATGGCAGAAACATCTCCTGAACACCTTGTCTATACTCAGCACGTGCTGAATACTGGACGCAAAGACACAGACTCTCGGATGAAAAAGACGCATTGAAAGGCTGGCGATCGACTTCCAAAAACCAGCCATTGAAAACTCCATGGAGCACAGTTCTACTCTGCACACGTGGGGCGCCATGAGTCGGAGCTGACGCAACACCAACTGGTAATGTGAGGTGAGGTGAGGTGAGGTGAGGTGGGGTG